CTGGGTGAGGTGGTGAGTTTTTTTCCTTTCCTTTTTTTTTTTTTTTTAAGGTGAGGCAGCGAGTTGTAGGTTGAGAGATGTGAGACTAGAAATTCCTTGAGGTAGAGAGTTAGGGATTTCTAAGAGGAACATCTAAAATTTGAAGTATGTAAGCCTGATTCGCTCCTTGATGAGTTGAGATGAGCTTGAGTTTGAACCCCCTAGATATAGATCATTGGTGACCGAGCTGGGTTATCAATTTTTTGTGCGCTATTTTTCTACTTACAGTGTCTGCATGTTGTTTGATCGTCACATGAACTATATGTATAAATCTGTTTGTGTATGTAGTTGTGTTGTTTGATCATTGTTGCGGTTATTTTCTTGTTGTGAGATATTTAATCGAATTTGGGGTCACCAATGAAAATTCTAAACTTCGTTTCATTTTGAATTGAAAGTAACTAATAGCAAGCGTTTCTATATTTTGAGTAGATTTATGTTTCATTGGTGACCGGACTGAATTATCAATCTCATGTGTTCCATTTTTCTGCTTACAGTGTATGCATGTTGTTTGATCGTCTCATGAACTGTCTGTATAAATCTGTTTGTGTCTGTAGTTGTGTTGTTGATCATTGTTGTTGTTATTTGCTTGTTATGAGAGATTTAATCGAATTTGGGGCCACCCATGACAATTCTAAACTTCGTTTCATTTTGAATTAAAAGAAACTAATAGCAAGCGTTTCTATATTTTGAGTAGATTTATGTTTCCAAATTACTAATTAAGATGATAATTTTTTTAAATACTCAAAGGACACTCGATTAATATCAACCATTAGATTAACAATAAAATCGATCGACTAGTCCATATTAGTTCAGAAAGTTCTGAAATATTTACAATATTAGAATCTTACCGGCCATTTTTTATATTTCTATTGATAATACTCCCTCCGTTCACATAATGTGTCCATATTTTCTATTTTTGTCCGTTCCTCATAATTTGTTATTTTTTTAAAAAAATATAATTATATACTTTAATCACATTTTCAGTTCTATAATTTATGTTTTTTTCAATCTTAATTGAACTATTTAGTTATTTTAATCTCAATATATAATTATTGTTATTATACAATAATTATTTTTACTAATACACTTATTAATTACTTACTAATTATACTCTATCTATATTTCGTCTTTACAATAATGCATCCAAATTATTTGGGATGGATAGAGTATAAAACACCCTTATCTTATGTTAATTAATACATTTTCTATTTTGATATGTCTCACATTATTTGATACTTTTAAGTAAATTTATCAATATTAAACATGTTTAACAAATATAAATCAAACTAATTAAGTTTCTAACACTTTACATATAGGATCACACAAAAGTATTTATTTATGTCTCTCTCCAATTAACTTAATTATATTTCTAATCTCTTACACATAGGGCTCATTGCAAACTTCTTTATTTTTTGTTTTATCCTTAATAAAAAAAAATATTTTTTATTTAAATTTAAAAATTTCTATATTTTTTGTGAAAAAAAATTATTTTATGTGAATTATAAATAAATAAACGTATATTTTCATTTAATTTTTTTATATAAAATTATGTTCCCTACAAAATGATATCTATATTATATATATTTTACTAAAATATATTAGGATTTAAAATATTTAAAATACATAAATCACTTTATTTTAAAATTATCAATATCATTACTCACATAAAAAATAAATGAACCAATATTATAAACCATTATCATTAATTTACTAAATTTTACTACTTTCAATATTGTACCACAAATCAAATATATCAATTAAAATGTGACATAAAGACTATATACTAAAAGAAAGAAAAAAAAAAAAAAAAAAAAAAAAAACAAAACATTTGTAAGGAACTATTCTATATTCTGCAGTCACATGGTGGTGGGCAAAGCCGAGGCGGAGCAGATTGAAGGAGCGTAATTAAAAAGATGGCAGCATGCAAGAATGAGAAGGTTGTCCGAAGTTTCCTTGAATATGGAGGTTTTTACAAAAAATTAATCAAGAACCTCAACAAGATTTCTCAGCACCTCACTGTGCATATAAGTAAGATGTTAAGTTTGAGTGGACGGATCAGTGTGAAGAGGCATTTCATCTACTAAAGGTAATCCCACCACTTCGCCCATCATCTTAGCGCTAATATGAAGTGAAACATTCGAGTTGATGACAGATACAAACAATTATACCGTCAGTGCTATCCTAGGCCAAAACGTGAAATACAAGATGAATGTGATATACTAAACCAACAAGACATTAGACTCCACTAAAAGGAGTTACACTACCACTGGAAAAGAGCTACTAACTATTATTTTCATTTCGAGAAGTTCAGAGAGTATTTGATTGGAAGCAAGATCATAATTCATGATGACCATGCAAGCGTTAAGTATTTGATGGAGAAGGAGACCAAAGCCTGTGTAATCCACTAGCTTTTTCTACTCTAGAAGTTTGATATAGAAATTAAGGATAATAAAAGAAAGGAGAACTACATTCCAAAACATTTAAGCAGATTGCATCAATTGGATGACACAACAACAATATAAATGAATCTTTTTGTAATACCCGGAAAGGCGGGTATGTCACGTGCCATCATTATAAAAATAACGTGTATCGACACGCTACGCTATAATACTAAGGCTTAAAAACACATCACTTTTTTTTTTTTTTTTTTTCATGAATAACATTTATGTAAAAATATAGAAATACATCACCATCACTGCAATACTTCTCAAACACATGAAAAAAGTGAAACAGTCATATAACGAAATATTGCCGAAAAACGTGCATGGTGTTATGCAGAAAGACCTTATCTAAAATGATATGTCAATCATCGACCCGAGGGTCCAGCTATGAAATTCACAAGAAAAAAATATAATATCATCAACAACATTAGTTGGGTATGGAAATAAATATGTAAACATAAAGCACAATCAACCATAACCTAAAAGTCATTGCAATAAGTCATTGCAATACTCCTGATCGTGCATCATATCTTAACACATAGCAATTCACAAATATAACATAATCACTCTCAAAATGATAGCTCAATCTTGGCATTACATAATCAATGTCAAATCGATAACTCAATCCCGTTTAAACGATAATCACTGCCATATTAATAGCCCAATCCCTGCTAAACAATAACTCAATTCCGTTATGATAGCTCGATCCTAGATAAATGATAATCAATGTTGTAACGATTGTCCAATTCCAACTAAATGATAATCAATGCATATTTTGATCTTTAGACTACGATAAAAAATAATGTAAATTTAATATTTGATACAGAGTCAACAATCTGAATAATATTGAATTAATTTTTTTGATCAAAATAATAATTCTATCATTTTATATATTTTTTTTATTTCTTTAATATTCCCTCTGTCATCCAAATTTATTCTAATTTTTCTTTTTAGTCCGTCTACTAAATTTATCAAATTACTAATTTTGACAAAGTCAACAAATCAACATTTAATTATTACCCTCAATTGAATACTTATTTACAACAAATATCACTAACTTTATTACGTTCGCTCTTTATTTATTTTAATTTCTACCTAAATATTTAAAAATACTCCAAACTACTTATCATTTTTTTAATAAAATATTTATTTTTCTTAATCTTCATGTCGAATCCAAATGTGCTAATTCTAATGGACCGATGAAGTAATTTTTATAGAAGTAAGTTTTACCAATAATATTAAGATTATATTTTATCTCACATTGTTTTTAACAATAAAACAAAAAGATAAATGAGTTATAATTATCATATCATATTACTATATACATAAATATATATATATAATTAATTAATTAAATGGTGTACGATCCTGCAATATAATATTTTGAAAATTTGAATTTTTTTTGCTTGGTTCATATATAATGAGTTATATTAATAACTATTTATAAAATTATATTTTGTCCAAAATTATTTTCAACAACAAAATGGAAACATAGTTACTATTTATATTAATTTACACCAGTATTGGTCTTTTGGCTATTGATAAAAAAAATAAAGTAGTATAATATAACATAATATTGCCTAAAATAAAGTGATAGTTCATCTTACATTCAGTAATGGAACTAACTTTCAAATTTCGGAAGTGTAAAGTTGTTATGTTAGTTTTATATTTTTTATTATTCGATTTTAGTTTTAACATGTTTTGAACCGTTATTTCCCAATATTTTATTTGCACCCGTAGTTTGGTTTGTTTATGCGTGTGGAAAAAATAAAATTACAAGACCTACTCGTCAGTTCACAATCATTAAATATGCATCATTTTATCCTTTTCAATTCCCTTTGACACTAGAAAAATTATGAAGAAAAAAATAAATAAAAGAAAAGAAAAAAATAAAAAATATGATAAAACTATAGTAATATTTAGAATAAAATATTATATGTTTTATATAATATTTATAACTACAATTATTATTCCCTCCGTCTGGCTCTCAAGGTCTCATTTCATTTTACTTTACATTAAAAATATTTTTTTTATATATATAATTTTTTGCATAAATGTTATTAAGACTTTTTTTTAAAAAAAAATTGTACTATATTCTCATATAATAATTAATATTTAAAGAGTAAATAAGATCTTACGGACGAATATAGTATATAATATTATAAATTAAAAAATAAAATTAGAAATAAAATAGAGTAAGACGGACTAACTAACGTAGTATATAATATTATAAATTTAAAAATAAATAAGACGACTAATGTAGTATATAATATTGTAAATTTAAAAATAAAATTAGGACTAAAATAGAGTAATAGATTTAAATTAGGGGACAAAACTAAATAATTAAATCTAAAAAGCTTATTTTTACTTTTAAAAAAATTATAAAAAAATTGGGTTTGGGTGTTGCCCCTAGCCCCTTACGCGATCCGAATTCTGAAAAAACAAAAAAAAAAAAAAAAATTAAAAAAAAAAATAAAAAAAAGAAAGAGGTGAGAAATAGATTTAGATGACAAAGGCAAATAAGACCAAACATGTTTCTATTTCTATAGAAATTTGGACAATATTGGAAAGAAGGAAGGAAGGAAGAAATGGCCTCTGCAATCTTAGCTCTCTCAAAATCAAACCACCTCATCCTCATTGTAAGTCGAAATTTTTCCCTCAATCATCATCCTCTCTCTTGCTTCCACTGCCTGTGAAATCAAAACAACAACAACAAAAAAAACTATGTCATGTCTTCGTTTTCATCTACTAAATTTTGCACTGCAGCATTTAATACCTACCTGTTTATGCCAATCCGTTCGGAGCGCTACGACGCCGAGCAACACAGTTTGCACGGTTGATCCGACCACCAGGCCGCCCCATAGACCCTCACCTTTCAGGCCAAGATAGAATCCGAGCAACAGAGATATAGGAATCCCAGCAAGATAATACGACCCGAGGTTTATGTAGGCGCCGATGTGCTGCCATCCGGTGCCTCTTGCGGCTCCTACAAGTAAAACAAAAGATAAACTACTACACATGAGCTTGACTTGAATCATGACATTATTATTTTTTGATGTCCTAATTGAGCTACACCTGAAAGTACTGCTTGCAAGCTATCCATAATGATCGAGATGCAAAGAATAGGAGTCATTCGTTTCACGTAACCAACCATGCTTTCTTCATTACTAAATGCAAATCCCAGATCAGAACGAAAGAAGAAAAGAATAGCATCCGCCATGGTAATCTCTACCACAGACAGAAACAGCATAACAGTAAGGACTCGTTTGGCTGCCTCCGGCTTCCCCGCTCCAAGTTCATTGGAAATTCGAGTGCTGCAGCAAAATATTTTCGTCTAAACTTAAATCATTAGATTGGGAAACCATACTTAAGTTTAGCATATCAATATCATCCATCCTTGTTGAAGCTACAGAATGCATGGAGTAAAGGATCTAACCTTGCAGCAGCGCCTAAAGAATATTGTATAAGATAATGCATCGAGGTGATCGTCAGGCTGCTCACAAGACAGAACAATGGACATCATCATCGCCAAGGTTTCAAGTTATGGAAAGGAAGTTCTTCAATTAATCATACCATACTGATAGCACCGAAGTCTCTAGCCCCGGATTAGTTAGTAATCCACCAAGCAATACAACTATCTCGTATGTCCACCATTCCAAACTACAAAGGCAGTGACAATAAAACGGTCATTTTTCAATCCAGAACATATCATAACTAACATGCTAGAGATAGATAATCTCTAGAAATGGAAGAGTTATTACCAAACCATCAAAGCAGAAGGGATAGCAAAGCAGAAGAATTCACCGAATGTAAGGAATATATCCTTTGAGAATGAAGCATGAGTTTTCTTACAGCTTGGCGACCATTTTATGTAAATTCCTAGCACGATCACATTCAACCAATATGAAAAACAGAGAACAATCGCAGCTCCAGGGCTTCCGAGCTTCAAAGTAAATATAAACACCCACGAAAGAGGCAAATGGATGACCAAAGAAAGTATTGAGGACCACACCATAGGCATTATCAAACTCTGAATCTGCAAATATCGAGTCATAGGCTGAAGAATAGCATACGGAACAAGTGTGGGAATGAGCCAAATCGAGAATATGCCGGCTTCCTTGGAGATCATAGGGTCTTGGCCAATCAATATCAGAAGCTTCTCTGTATACACCCATAAAAGGGATATTGGTAAACAAGCTAGAAAGAGCCAAAGTACGGCACCGTAAGTGAAAATCCCGACTTTATGATAGTTCTCTGCTCCGTAGGCCTGTCCACAAAGTGTCTCCAATGCACTAGCCATCCCAAGCTGCTCGAAAGGTAACCATCTAAGTTTAATGTCTCTATTTAGCTAAATAACTTCACTGCAGATCAGTCAGTATCTTCAAATTTCATAAATCAGTAACTAAATGACATGTTGGTTGGTATGATTATGAATGCACAAAGTGTTCATTCCTTCCATTATTAGATCGTGATAGGAAACTGTTAGTTAAATTAATCAAAGAATATCTTCAGTCATTCAATGCAATCAATTAAATTCGAATGATTACGATATATAATTGCGAACCAAAAGCAAGTATACACTCAAAATTGATTGAACACAGCACAAATTAATCAACCCGAAACAGCAATTAATGCGAAGAAAGCCATGGCAACCGCTTAAATCGGTGCGGAAAGTGTCCTCTTCATAAAAAATAAATCGAAATTAAGGACTAACCAGAAGACTGTATCCAGTAACATTACAGAGGGAGGTGGAAATAGAAGCGCCGGCAAAGGCGAGCTCCCCGAGATGGCCGAGCATCATCATCGACGCAGCGCGCAACAGATACTGCGTCAAAGAAACCACCACAATCGGCAAAGCTAGCGTGGTCGCTCTGCGCAGCTCTCCTACATACGCTTCCCTCCTCGCCGCAAAACCTCCGCTCCTTAACTCGGTCTTCGGAACGATTAGCGGCTCTTCCGATTCCATTACTTCCTGATTCAGCCTCCGGATACGATCTCCGACTCCGAGCCTCGAACTGAACTGAACGGCAGTCGGTACGTAGTCGCCAATGAATCACACTTTTAAATACAACAAAATTCGTCTACGTCTGTGTGTATATATATATAATAATAAGTCGGGTTGAAATCATATGTGATATTATGGCAGTTTATTATATATTTTTCATCTCTCGCCTTACTATTCAATTTTTCATTTTGATGCAGTCTCGCAACAGAATATTGGATTAAATTGTACAAAATTCACATGTGATTTCATGAAATTGAACCAAATTTCCATATTTCAGTTTCCATATTTCAGTCAAACTCCTCGTAGTTTCATAACCTTTGCGTCTAACCCCTTCAGCGGTCTTATTTAACGGTATTTCAGCGCCGCGAATAAATTTTAGAATCTCAATTTATAAATCACTAAAATTACAAATATATTTATTTTTTTATATATTTAACCTAAAAAATAGTAAAAATAAACTCTTAAAACCTAAAAAAAAATAACTATTTTTTAGTATATTTACTATTTTTTTTAATAAATATAAAAAAAATAAATATATTTGTAATTTCGGGGTTTATAAATTGAGATTTTAAAATTTATTTGCAGTTTGAACGCATTTATGTCAAAAGTTTATGAAACCACGATGGAGTTTGACGTAGTTTTAGAAGTACGGGGGATTTGGTGCAATTTCATGAAACCACGGGTGGATATTGTGCAATTTAGCCCAAAATATTATGTACTTAACATTATAAATACACTTTCAATTTATAATATATTATAAAAATATTATTATATTTATATCATACAATACTTATTTTAGTTTTTTTCTTTTTTACTTTTATTTTTGCTGCATCCAAATATAATACTAATATTTTTAAAATTCTGTGCATGAGGGAGTAGTTTTTAATGTAATAAATATGTATATACATTATATTTTTATTTAACACAACATTAGGTTATATTACATGGGAGGATTACGGTGTTGAATTTATATATGTGCATAATATATTTTTGTATAAGATAATATTATACTCTTTCTGTCCGTCTCTAAGGATCACATTTATTTTTTTGCGTCATTGTACTTAATAATAAAAATATTCTAATGTACTTCTATTAGTATTATAAGTCGCCAATTGAAGTATTTTTGCAATTTTTTCTTAATTTGTACTATATTTTGATTTAATAATTAATATTCAAATATCAACTCGTAAAAAATAAATGAAACCCTTAGAGTCGAACCGATGTAATATTACATTAGTACTATATACTTACATAACTATTTGTCTTAATATATAGTGATCGGTTAAGTCAGTCCGACACCAGATTGACCGCCTTTCTATACAAATTGTTGTGATGGATTAGGGTTGATGATCGAATAGCAAATAAAAAACGTAAAAAAGACTTAGCATAAGCCTATACCTATAATATCCGAATCATATTCCTAAAACTAGAATATAATATCCGGATATAATATCTGATATCTAAATCATATTTTTATACCAATAGATATACAACTACTACAGAACTGTAGAATACAGTCGTTTTCTTCAATAACATTAATAAGACTAATATTTAAGGGTGGGTCTGTAAATTGATTAAGACTATTATTATTATTATCATTATTCTAAATGTTATTTGTAACGACTATTGCGTATAACATGCCCCTGATAACTACAACTCCCTTTCTCCCATATAATTTATCTTTATTTTCTATTTTCGTCTATTTCACATAATTTATTTATTTTTTTTGGAAAATTATTATACACTTTAATCATATTTCAAAGGCAAAATTGTCCATAACTCCCTTGTGGTTTCGAAACTTAGTGTAAATTCCTCATCTACTTTAAAAATTGTATGACGTTCCCTTATACTTTAAAAAAATATTGCATGAAACCACTTTGTGGTTTCGAAACTCAGCATAAATTTCCATTTTACTTTAAAAAATTGCATGACGCTCACTTATACTTTAAAATATATTACATAAAACCCCCTATACCATGCAAAATATATAGATAGAAAATCATCTTCTTCTTATCACACAAAGAAAGTTTCGTAGTGGTGGGGTTTCATGCAATGTTTTTTAAAATATAAGGGATACCATGCAAATATTAAAATATGGGGAGATTTTACGCTGAATTTCGAAACCACATGGAAGTTATAAGCAATTTTATCTATTTTAAAATTTAAAATTTAAATTTTTTTTAATCTGAATTAATCTATTTAGTCATTTTAATCTTAATATATTATTATTTTTAATATATAATAATTATTTTTTTAATACATTTTTTAATTATTTATTAATTATATTTTATTTAAATTCTCGTATCTAGTCTAACTGCGAAGACGGAGGGTAACTATTTATCTTTATTTTAAAATAAATATTTATTTATTTTAAAATATTTATATAAGGAGGTAAAAAGAAGGTTGGTCACGTCTCCAGTTTTGGGTCTATTATAATTATAATTATAATTATAATAAAATCAAAATGAATTTTGGCAGTGGTGATTGAGAGAAAACAAACGTAGGAAGCAGCCCCACATGCCTCCAGTATCATATCTATCACTTAAATGCGACTCTATCACTTGTGATTGTCAATCATAAAGGAGACCGCCACTATACTCCCTGTAATAAAAATGATTATTACTCTTTTATGATTCAAATATATATATATATATATCATTTATTATTATAAAAACAAAAATATTTGGACTTTTTTTTATTTTTATTTATTTATGTATTTTATCATAAAAAAACCGAAATGACTGTTCCAAAATGTGCATGGAGTAAACTAAGTCCGACAAAACAAATCACATTAGGCGAATCGTACAGGTGACCTAGAGAGAGGTTTGAACCCTGACCTCACGGTCACGAATCTACCGCTACATCACTAGACAAAAAAATATATAAATTTTGATGATGGATATAAAAAATTTTATTATCTAAAATAAAAATAAAAGATTATTTGAAAAACAATTGTTTAAAGAATTTTTAATTTTTTGAAAAAGAAAAAAATCGATAAAAAAATAATAATATAAGTATTTAATAGGTGTATTTTTTTTTAGTAATGTATAAATCTCCAAAAATTAATTTAATTAAAGAATTATTTCATACATATCAATCCATTTTATTGCAGTATTTATTAATTATATTAATATATTTTGGTAATAACTTTGAAATTATAATTTTATAAGTTACAATTATTATTTTTTTAATATAAACTATTTATTTGTAAACATTTTAAAATTTTTAAAATAAAGGAAAAATAAAAATATTAGGATAATGAATTTATTTTACATATATATATATTTTATCACACAATTTTTTTTTATTGAAAATGAATATATTAGAATTAATTTATTTAAAATTATAAGTTTAATAAAAAAATTTATTAAAAATTAATTTAATAAAAATACATATATGAATAACTTGTTCTTTTATATTTTACACTATTTTTAATAAAAATTATTCATATTTTTCAACAAAAATACATCATTTTTTTAAAAAAAAAACAACCAAAGCAAATTTTTTAATAGAACTTTTATAATTTTCATTAACTAAAAATAAAAATTCTAAAAAATCCTAAATACCGAAAGAATGCAATTAAATATCTTAAAATAAAATATAAAATATTCTTAATTATCATTTTATGGCTAAACAACGAATATCAATAAACTATTTTACCGAATATTTTAACACAATGAGCTAATATATTTAATTAATCAAACCAACTACTAGAATTAACTAACAACTAATGACTAATCAAATTAACTATATGCTAAAAGCTACAGTTAATTTTCAAACACCTCCTAAAATAATCGGTAGGATTTGGCCTATAAAAAATTATTTAGTACCTCTTATGGTGATTCGAGTTAAGTTTTTTATTTTTAGAATTAAATACATAAAATGAAAGTAGAAACAAAAAAGTAGGGAATTTTGAAGACAAATAAAAACAAAAATGATTAATGCAAGGAATTGAGTAAAACAAAATAAAGTAAAAGCATTTACCCAAGACAATGTAAATTAAAGAACTTAAAAAGACAACACAGCTAAAATAAAGTGAATAAAGTAGCTAAATTTAAGAATAAAGGGCTACACCTGCTGTATATGTGTGGTGATGTGTCCTTTTTAATTTCTATAAATTTATTTTTTACACTCAAAATATTTCTAACTTCTTCCTAAGTTGTGGCTAACTCTTTTTAGTTTATAGGAGATCATGTCATTTTAACTTTTTCATCATAGGGAAATTCAAAATATTTCAGCTTCTCCCTAAATTTGTGATTTTAGAAGAATATATCCTCCTAGCTTAATCATGAAAAAAATCTTCACTTTCATCTATTTAACCACTTTTTCATAAGTTTTTTTCATTAATCAAAATTATTTATTTTATACTCCCTCTGTCCCGAAAGGTGGCATTTGATTTTTGCACGTAAATTTTTTAATATTAGTATTATATTGAATTATAGTAAAAAAGACAATACCCCTGTTAGTATGGTGTAATGTAAAAGTAATGACATTTATGTCATATATTGTAAGTTGAAAGGGTATTTATTATGTTAAGTATGTAGCACAATTACTAAATTAGAAAATGGTAACCTTGTTTTGGGGACGGACAAAAATACTGGAGGGAGGGAGTATTAAATTCTTGTTTAAATAAAAATTTAAAATAAAAATACAAAAATAAATTGCTAATTGGAATTAAATCATTCTATTCTATTTTCAATTTAAATTTAGTTCCTCCTCCAAAATTAATTTGTTTGCATACCCACTTTTTATAATAATTTGTTTCTAACTCCCAATTATTGTAATTTTCTTTTCTATTTTTTTCTCTGTCTGAAGTTAATTTTTCGTTCAAAACAACTGTTCAAGGGCGGAAGAAGACAGATTTGCGCGCGCAAGCGAAACAAATCCAGATTCTAACGGAAGAAGACAAAGATTTGTGAAATTAAATTCCTAACACTACACTCCCCCTTTTTCGAAAATCTTTGATATTCATTTCCTTACCGTCCCTAATTTCCAATTCTACTCCAATCTTAATCCTTATTCCAATCCCAACCGATTTCCAATTGATTATGTTATTTTTTGCACACGAGCGAAACACA